ATTTTCTGCATTTTCTGGCTCCGAACTTTTGAGCCTTTAGTTCCCCCGTTGTTGAACACACAAGGCACTTCTCTTTCCTTATTTTGTGTCCGTGCCAAAGTATACATCAGTTATAATGTATTGATATGTCGCTCAAATCCGAGGACAAAGTTACCTAGTATGTCGACATCCACTGTAAATCGAATACTGTTTTGGGAAGTACGATGCCAAGCCCCTAGGAAACCAAGCGTTGCTCTTTCCCGGAAACCCCTGACTACGATCCTTCCCGGATTTAGCTCAAACTGTACTGGCATATGGGATCGAGCTCGTGGCTATAAAACAGAACAGGTATATCCCCTTACAAGGAACGTTGGAAGCAATGTAGAAGTATGGCTTTCGTCTCGGGTTTCTTTTCGCCTTTCTCCCTCAAACACAAATTGAACCTGATGTTGTATTTTTAGTTGCAATATGGGGTGGGTGCCGCGGCCATCCGGGTAAGCCGGTAGGCAAGGGGTCCTTGCCTTTCTCTTTGATAATGTTTATCAGATGTGATCAAGGCATACACACCGCATTACACTACCTGAAATAGTATGCACATCATAAGTCTATATCGGGTCAAAGCATCCGTGACTTGCAAATCTGTACTCCGTACATCAATGTAGACGTGGCCATGTGGAGCAAATCGGACATATAGCAAGGATCGTGCATATAACAGCTGCTAAGAAATAGCGGTGACTGTGCTTCGCCTCCAAGGTACGGAGTACATACAACATACATAAATCCGGGGCGATCTTAGACCACTCGCCATGGCGTGCTCGGAAAGGGGGATTGCTCATTGTGGAGCTATGATGTACATTGCATTGCTCTCCTTTTTCTTTCCTTTTGCTTCAAAATAGTTCGAAGAGATGATAGAAGAAAAGAGAAGGACGAGAAAAGGAGTCCCGCCGGCGGGCTATTCCGTCGATATCTCGCACCCTCACCGCGCTCTTCTTCAATAGTGTCAAATCAGGCGGTTTGATTGGGCGTCAAGATAAGCAAGTGGATACTGAACTCTAAGCTTCCACTCTAACCATGTTGGGATATCCTAAGAGAATAAAAGACTGCAACCATTGGCTGAGAAGGGAATGACACGATCTTATGGATCCCAAGGTTTGACTAGGGTCGGCCTCGGGATTCACTAGGCTGAAAACAGTTAGCCTTTACAGGATCCTGTCACGCTGGAAACGCTGCCATGGACGTGGGCTGTCCATGCCGTTATCCACTCCGGGGTCGAGTGCGCGTGGGAACTGCACTGAAGCTAGACTGGGTACTAAAACGCCGGCCTTTGACTTGATATGCTTTGATCGGCATTATTGGTTTGGAGGGGATGAGGTCGGTGGTGGTTTTACATGCTCGGTTGGTATTGTGGTGGTATTGTGACTTTCCAATGTGACCGACACCAACGCGGCCCCCATAGTTGTAAAGTGGCAACTCACTCGGCACTTGGCCCGATGGGATTTGATTACCTACAATTGATAAAAAGCACTGGTCGTGTGACTGAGATTGTTAGTTTGATCTGATTATTAAAAGATAACAAGAAAATATCCACTTGAGAGAGAAAGTATGTGGTTTATATGTACTCCTTAGGTAAAGGTAGATTAACTATCTACTTCGGTATTACGTTACCATACAGGTTCTTCCGAAATCACACCATCGGTGCCTCAAATGATCCCATCGTCCTTGCGGGGGAGTACGTCAGTACCGGATCACCTCCCCTGATCTCCGTTGCAGACGGGAACTACTTTGGACTAATCGATTTGGGATGCAATTGCAATGTCCAGGCATTTTATGGAGTACAAGGTGGTCGAATCTAAAGAGAATATGATCTTCATTGGGTATCGGAATACATTACATGAAAATACATACCCTTTTCCGTCTTGGCCTGCATCTGTTTGCTGTTTTGGTCCGTCGCTCTCGAATTATCTCGTTTTTGCCTCTTTGGGTCTTTTCTTTTAAAAATCTTTTTTTCCTTTGTTCCCCCCATTCTCCCTCGACTTCATATATCACTCGCTCTCCCACACTTTCTTCCTTCTTCATTACTTTCTCCCTCAAATTAATTCTAACTCCCGCCTTCCATTGGCCGTCTATTGAACTAGATATTCACCATGGCGACCAAGAAGCCCAACATCCTCTACATCATGGCCGACCAGATGGCCGCGCCCTTGTTGTCCCTGCATGACAAGAACTCGCCCATTAAGACTCCTAATCTAGATCGCCTCGCCGAGGGCGGTGTAGTCTTCAACTCCGCATACTGTAACTCACCACTGTGTGCGCCTTCGCGATTTGTCATGGTCAGCGGCCAGCTGCCCTCCAACATTGGCGCCTACGATAATGCGGCCGAACTGCCTGCGGACACCCCGACATATGCGCACTATCTGCGGCGAGAGGGATACCACACAGCCTTGGCCGGAAAGATGCACTTCTGTGGCCCGGACCAGCTCCACGGATATGAACAGCGTTTGACCAGTGATATTTACCCTGGTGATTACGGCTGGTCCGTCAATTGGGATGAGCCTGTAGGTCAACTTGCGAACACCCGGCTGTGGCACCACTGATTGGATTTAGGACATCCGTGCCGACTGGTACCACAACATGTCCTCCGTGATGGAGGCAGGTCCCGTTGTACGCACCAATCAATTGGATTTTGACGAGGAAGTGATTTACAAGTCGACCCAATACCTATACGACCATGTTCGGCAGCGCACCGAGCAGCCTTTCTGCTTGACAGTCTCCATGACCCACCCTCACGACCCGTACGCCATGACCAAGGAGTTCTGGGACCTGTACAATGATGTGGAGATCCCGTTGCCGAAGAACGGAGCTATTCCCCACGACCAGCAGGATGCGCATTCGCAGCGCGTGCTCAAGTGTATCGACTTGTTCAACAAGGAGATGCCCGACGAGCGCATCCGTGCCGCCCGTCGCGCCTACTATGCCGCCTGCACATACGTTGATACCAACATCGGCAAGCTGCTGCGTGTTCTCGAAAGCACCGGTCTGGCCGACGACACCATCATTGTCTTCACTGGCGATCACGGTGACATGCTCGGCGAGCGCGGTCTGTGGTACAAGATGACCTGGTTCGAGAATTCGGCCCGCGTTCCTTTCCTCGTCCACTCGCCCAAGCGGTTCACTCCGAAGCGCGTGTCGGAGAACGTTTCCACCATGGATATCCTCCCTACATTCGTCGAATTAGCAGGTTGCAAACTCGTCTCCGAGCTTCCTCTCGACGGTGTGTCCCTCATGCCGTATTTGACCGGCGGCGAGGGTCTCCGCACTGACACTGTCTACGGCGAGTACATGGGCGAGGGCACCCAGGCTCCTCTCATGATGATCCGTCGCGGCCGCTGGAAGTTCATCTACTCGACCATCGACCCACCTATGCTCTACGATCTCGTCAACGACCCAGAGGAGAGGACCAACCTCGCAGCTGGCCTCCCCATCCCATCCAGCTCCACCCGCGCAGCCATAATAGCCAACCAGACCAACTTATCATCTATCAACCTACCAACCCCTGACGACACCCCGCACGCATCGCCAGTTCCTCAGCGTGCCAACTCGGCAGACTACCCCTTCCCGTCGAACACCCCCCCTCGCACTCCAAGCCCCGCCAAATTCCCGCCTGCAGTGCCTAAAACCACCGACCCGATAAAAATCCTGGCGTTCTTCCTCGAGGAAACCCATACCCGCTGGGATTTGGAGAAGATCCACCAGGATGTACTGCGCTCCCAGCGTCGTCGCCGTCTGGTCTACTCCGCTCTGATCCAGGGTACCCAGAACGTCTGGGACTACGAGCCACGCATCGACCCGAGTACCCAGTACGTGCGCAACCAGGGCAAGGGCGCCCTCGACGATGTCGAGCTCATCTCGCGTTGGCCCCGTATTCTCCAGCAAGCTGCTACTGCCAATGGGATGTCTGCATAATCACCCGATCAGGTTTTCTGAATATACCCATTGGCTCGACATTGAAAATATTCCATTCTTGCATTCTTTATCTTTATTCATTTCTCTTGCATTTCAGCACCATTTCTATTACCTTTTTGCGGCATTCCCGGCATTCTTTCATATCGGGATCCAATTTTTCTTTTTTCGATGTTGATATTTTTGGATTCTTTACATCTCTCATTCTCATAGTAAGGCGCGCGCTATACCCGGGACTTATTCCCCAATCTGCATCTTTTCATGTCGGTTGTGGCTACGTGGATTATTTTGTACATAGTTGTGCTCATGGTTCCCCGGGTTGGGTGTCTTACCCTGTATATTGCGGCTGGTTTGGGGTATTACATAGATAAAAAGCAATCAGACTGTCATTTGGGCTTCTGTACTGGTGTTCCACGTTCTTAAGCTATAATCACCATATCTGTAAATTGTATTCCACCCAGACGTCCTCTGGTAACAACAGTTGAACGCCGATCGCTAGATCTAGATACCAGGAGATGGCCAACACGGAGGATCAAGCGGCTCGGCGCGTTGAGATATTCCCAAAGCAGATTCACCATAGGTGGAATCGTGGCATTCGAAGGAATGTTGATGATCTCGTCACTCATAGTATAAGTCGGGTTATCAATCGCGGCGACTAGATCATCGAGTCCTGCCAATGAACCAAAATAGGCTTGACATTGGTCCAATAAATCTTGAACTTGTTCCAAGCTCGGGATCGATCCATTCTGCAATGTCGGCTAGACTGTATGAAGGGCTAATAGCCCGAAGTATCATAGTAAGAACTGGAGGCTCTAGGACACACCTACTTTTATAGATCTCATATCACACAAGTCTGTAGATTTTAGAAAATACCACGCCGTGAACCCCCGCATATTCCGCGTCGCACTGCTTCCGAGGTACAAAGTAAGGACCGAGAGGACAAACGCCCCGAGAAATAGCCGGTTCATTTTAGTATGTTTGGATCTTGATCCTTTTACATTCGAACTAACTCATTTTCAAACCAGTGTCTCAATTAAGTTTTTTTGCTATATTTCGAATAAATGAACATGCCCGTCAAGATGTTAATCTTTATTTACCGCAACCCCCGCCTGACACCGGAAGAATTCAAGAAGTACTACGAAGCGCACGTCAAACTCGTCAAGAAGCTGGCAGGCGCGGATTTCCCCCTTTCTCATCATCGAAATTATATCGCCCGCAATACAGTCGACATTCCCCCGGATGGCTCCACCGCGCGCAATGCCTTCACCCCGGCGACGATACTCCGCGGGCGACAGCCAGAGTTCGACTTTGACGCCTACGCCGAACTTACTTTCGCGGATCAGGTTGCCTACCAGGCCTTTGCGGCCAAGACCTATGCCCCGGATGCCGCTGCCCAGATAACTGCTGACGAGGACAAATTTCTGGATCGGTTGAAGCTGGGAGTTGCCTTGGTAGGGGAGGTGAGAGTTACTGTGAAATGAGGTACTTTCTTGTCGGAGCTGGTGATCGGACTTGTTTGCGCTGCATGTTGGAAGTCCGATGTGATCACGAGGTATACCTTTGGTGTAGTATCTTTCAACTTGAGGGATATTCTCAGGAACCTAGTATATGCCCAATGAAAAGTCTTTCAAGTATAACTCCACTAACATTCCTCTATCGATACTCGGTCACGTTTGACTCCCAAAATTGCAAAAGGACCAGATGCATAAAGCCAAGACACGTGAAGAACTCCCCTCTTCGATCATGAGATGATATTAGTGGCTTGACTCCTCAACTTATCTTATGGCCCCTTGAAATGGCACATGCTTCGGTCGCATGGTCTCGGTGCTACATTGGCATTCCATTTATCCTTCTCACAGGGGCCGTTCCTGCCCGGCAAACCGGATACATTAATATGTGTCAGACTGCATATCCTTAGACCCTAATCAGAACCTTAAACCAGTATAAACCCTCACTTGGCTTGATAATACCGCTCAGTTACATTCATTAACACGAGTTAGGACGAGGGGGATGATGCTGCAACGTCTGAAGATAGAGCTTCTATCGATTTAATTTGTTCCGGGCTCCTGACTGTGCATGAGTAAAGCATTTCATATGACAATGTCACCCATCCTCAGAAGTCTCCACAACTGATTGGTGGAGGAATTCTTAGTCCCCCACGAGGACAGATAAGTCGAGTTGTGACAAAGGGATCAAGCCCAATTTCAGAATGTTACACACTTGTGTGGTGTGCCATGCTGTTGGCGTCTACTATCCATGACACGGTTAGTACAGGGTATATCATAATCGGATCTTCATAGTGTGTGGAGGATGTACTGTGGCGCTGCTTAATTCGCCGCCAACCTCATATTGATCATTGGATTCGCCGGTGGCTTGCAGTCCTGAATGTGACAATGTGCAGAATCCTATTGATTCCCCCGATATCAATGGCTGAAACGATGGAGCCATCTTGGTATCAGGCAGGTCACCCTTCCGGTAACAGGGTACTATTGACTGTTTGAGCTGTGAACAAACGGGCTGAGTAGACACAATTACTATTGTCCGGCAGCTCAATACTCCGCGAGGGAAGTCATTTGTTTGTCGACTTCGACTATAAATAGTGAGGTCATTTCCCTCATGCTCGAACTCAACAACCTTCATCACACAACGTCGCTTGGCCGAGACACCAGAAATTTTGTCCATACACTCCTTCATCATGCAATTTGTCATTCCTTTCCTTCTAGTCCTGAGCTGGCTCGCCAACGCTGCCTACATCCCTACCCTGAGGACCAACAGCACTGAGCTTGTATCTCGTGATGCTGGGAAGTACCGCTCGGTGGCATACTTTGTGAACTGGGTAAGTTTAGACCATATCCAGTGTGTCACTGGATGAAATTGGGGATATAAAAACGTCATCATCCAACCATTCAATCATCTAAACAGGAAGTCACGCTAATTAGACTACTTAGGCCATCTACGGTCGTAACTTCCAGCCCCAGGATCTTCCCGCTGAGCGACTGACTCATGTGCTTTATGCATTTGCCAACCTTCACCCTGATACAGGCGAGGTCTACCTGTCGGACCCCTGGGCAGACATTGACAAGCACTATGCCAATGATTCCTGGAATGATTCTGGAGATAATGTCTATGGCTGTGTCAAGCAGCTGTTCTTACTCAAGAAGAATAACAAGAAGCTCAAAGTCCTTCTGTCGATTGGAGGCTGGACCTATTCTCCCAGCTTTGCAACTGCCTTTGACACTGAGGATGGACGGCAGAAGTTCGCTGATTCTGCCACGGATCTGCTGAAGAACTTGGGATTCGACGGTATTGATGTTGATTATGAGGTCAGTCTACAGTTGCCGTTTGGAGATGTTGATGCTTATGAATACTACAGTACCCTGCTAGTGATGATCAGGCGGACAAATTTGTCGATGCACTCCGACGACTTCGTAAGGTATGTGCTCTATTCATGGATATCCATGGGTCCTGGCTAACCAAATTCAGGCTTTGGATTCCTACGGCTCTAGTGACGCCGGAAATTATCATTTCCTGCTTACTGCCGCATCTCCCGCTGGCAAGTTTTATTTCCATCGTTGGACAATTCTAAAATAGCTGACACAAGTAGGCCCACTCCACTACCATCAGGAACGTCTGAAGGAGATGGACCAGTACCTTGATTTCTGGAACCTCATGGCCTACGATTACTCCGGTAGCTGGGACACAGTTGCCGGTCATAACGCTAACCTCCACGCCTCGACCGACAACCCGGCCAGCACGCCATTTAACACGGACCAAGCTCTCGACTATTACATCGGGGAAGGCGTAGCTGCAAACAAGATTGTGCTAGGTATGCCACTGTATGGCCGAGCGTTTACCAATACCGACGGCCCGGGAAAGCCATACAATGGCGTTGGATCAGGCACATGGGAGAATGGCATTTGGGACTACAAGGGCCTACCTTTACCCGACTGTAACGTGACAGCCTTGGATCAAATAGGTGCAAGCTACTGCTACAACCAGGACAGCCGACTGTTCATCAGTTACGACACGCCCGAGATTGCGCGCATCAAGGCGCAGTACATCCAGTCCCGCGGACTGGGCGGTGGAATGTGGTGGGAGAGCAGCTCTGACAAGACTGGCGAGGACAGTTTGATTACAACTGTATGTGGCGTTCTTTTGATATATGGTTCACACTTTACTGACATACACACAGGTTGTGGATACACTTGGAGGTGTCGACGCTTTGGAGCAGAGCAGCAATCAGCTGCAGTACCCTGACTCCAAGTACGTTAACTTAAAGAACGGTTTCGATTAGATTATGTTCATTTGGCTGTCAATATTGCAATATTGGAGATTTCTCGCTGACATATGCATTGGGACATTTATGGCTGTTATGTGATGGACGATGGGATGTGCGCCTCTCGCTTGCATCTATCTCGCACATTTATGAATTGGAAATACTACTAAGATTGAAATTTGCTTGAATTGTATGGATCGGATGTAGTAGATATAGATTGTGTTTTGCTTCCTCCTCATAAACATCACTATCCCCACAACCATTGTACAATACATAGCTATTAACTACAAAGTATACGTATTCTATTTCTCGGGCGAGAGCAATTTATACTTCAAATAGAAATTAATATGCATACGAGTATAATTCCCTTTGAGCCAATGAGAGTGGCCTATAGAGAATATTCCGCCATCACGGCCCACTGTGATGCTATAACATCATACCAGAGTGACCGCGGGGCCGCGGGGTTCTTTTTCGATTAAAATATAACTTCGTTTCTCTTGTAGAAGGAAATAGTACTCCGTATTGTTTCCTAGCTTCTAGCCCGAAATCAACATGTCGACTCAAGCATCAGACGAGAAGCCTCGCAAATCGCTCATCCTCAATGCCTTTGTGGAAATGTGTACGAATCCCATTCATATCACATATGAAGCTCCTCTCTAATAACTAATACAGGCAGCGGACATCAGTCCCCAGGACTATGGCGCCACCCCGAAGACGAGTCGTATCGCTTCAATGATGTCGACCACTGGATCGAGCTGGCCCAATTACTCGAGTCGGCCAAGTTCCATGGCATTTTCTTCGCAGATGTTCTAGGTAAATAGGTCAAATGTGCATGTTAGACGAGAAGTCTAACGAATATCTCTTTCTAGGAGGATACGATGTCTATAAAGGACCCAGGAACCTCGAACCTGCAATCATCTCCGGTGCCCAGTGGCCAGTGAACGAGCCATTGTCTGTTGTCCCCGCGATGGCGGCAGCCACGAAGAATATTGGATTTGGAGTGACGGTCACAACAAGCTACGAGCAGCCATATCATCTTGCTAGACGACTATCTACGGTCGATCATCTTACCAAAGGACGGTATGTGAAGCTAATACCAGTTTTGAGATCGAGTTGCTAATTAAACCTTTATAGTCTGGGATGGAACGTGAGTAACACGCCGAACTCGAAGAACAGGATCATGAAAGAGAATATATGCTAATAATCCCCTCAGGTTGTAACAGGATACCTCGACTCTGCCGCCCGCAATATGGGCCAGGCCGAGCAGCTACATGTAAAGCCTCACATTCTACACTCACATATACCTACAACCCATTAACAAAAAGCCAGCACGATGACCGCTACCTCCTTGCCGAAGAATACATCAAAGTAACCTACAAGCTATGGGAGTCCTCCTGGCGCCAAGACGCCGTCATCCGCGACCGCGAGCGCGGCATCTACACCGACCCAACCGGCGTGCGTCAAATCAACCACGTCGGCAAATACTTCAACGTGCCCGGGCCTCATCTCTGCCAGCCCAGCCCACAGCGCACACCGGTGATCCTGCAAGCTGGCACGTCGAAAGCAGGCAAGACCTTCGCCGCGCAGCATGCAGAGGCTATCTTCGTGGCGGGCCACAGCCCCTCCGTAGTAGCGAAGAACGTCAGGGAGATTCGCGAGCTTGCACAGAGCGAGTACGGACGTGACCCGCAGAGTATCAAGTTCCTAGCACTTCTCTGCCCTGTCCTCGGCAAGACCGAGGAGGAGGCCGTGGAGAAGTTCAAGTATTACCGCAGTCTGGGGTCCATTGATGGAGCGCTTGCGCTGTTTGGTGGCTGGACTGGCATTGATCTGGATAAGTACGGAGATGATGAGGAGCTGCGACATGTTGAGAGTAATGCTATCCGGTATGTGAGAATTCTCCTTTTTCAGCTTGACGAAGACTGACTCGCGATTTCTGTAGCTCTGCTGTGGAGGGCTGGTCTAAGGCCACACCTGAAGTGGCTAAATGGACGAAGACTACTGTCGGCCAACACATCACTGTCGGAGGGCTGGGTGCCACTCCTGTCGGCACAGCTGCTCAAGTTGCTGATTACATGGAGCGATGGGTAAAAGAAGCCGATGTGGATGGGTTCAACCTGGTAAGTTGTATTCTTGAAACGGTCTGTTCTCGAGACATTTAATAACACTATTCACAGGCATACGCAATCAAGCCCGGCTCCTTCA